ATTTGGTGAGCTTATATATCTTTCGATAGATTTTATAAGTTCTTCTCTTGGCCCCCTTGGTGCCTCGTGAATGAATTTTGTTTTGCTTTGTTTTTTAAAGCTAAAGCCAACAAGCAAAAGAGTCTTGATTGCAAATGGTTAACCAAAGCTGGCCCAAAGAACAACCAAATAGCAATAGAAGATTTTGATTATTTATGAATACCTAAGACAAAAGGCAGAGAAATTGTTTACCTGTATGTCACGAATAAGTAGAAGAGTGGCAAGAGAACGTGAGTCAGAATGCACAACGGAGTCTTCTAGTGATTCATCTGCAAGAATTAGGATCTGTATGTTTAGAGTTAGTAGTCAGTTTAAAGTAACTGAAATCACACAACTAAAAATAAAATTAAAAAAAGAAAAAGAAAAGCAAAAGTTACTTTCTCCACTAGCTTGCAGGGTTTTGGGAGGATGAAAGAGCAAGACCTGTTACAGCAGGGTGCTACTTTGCCTATATGTGGGTACTGTGATAAGAATGGAGCACTAGATTTCTCTACGACTATTCTCAACTACAACAGAATTTTCAGGATAATTGATGATTTTTTCATTTATCTAAGGCTCATGTTTCTCTTTCAATACAAAAGAGCAATCCCATCCCCTTGTGAATTTTGCAAAGGGATGGGACTGCTCTTTTGTATTGAAGCATTTTCCTTCTTCCTTTGTTTTTCCCAATACTCATCCTCCACATTCGTGCTGCATTTCTCTCTCTTTCTGACCATACTCCATTGACTAAAAAAATCAATAAATTCAAATAAAAACATATTTTTGGTGGGACAAACACAAATAGAAGGTAAGAGAGAGACTCTCTAAATGATATAACTTACAGAATCAAATGTCTCCAGAGGAAGATTTTCTAAATGCCGTCTAATAACTGCATTTCCCTCACGATGTACAAGTTTTATGTTAACTAATCCGGAAATGTCAAGTCCTCCATCAGTCAGCTTTTTCTCTCTTTCTTTTTCGGGAACCTCATTAAACATCCATAGTTCTGAACCCGGTGCTAGGAATGCCTCTAGTACCTGAAAAATAGAATAGAAATATAGATGATGAAGCAAGCTCAAGCTTGATTTTGAAGAAATATCAGAAGGTTCTTTTGTTAAAAAAAAGAAGTGAGATTCAAGAAAGTATCAGATAAATCTTTTCTGTTGTTAAAAGCTTAACCTGGATTTACATTGTCGCTTATATTCATCTCATAGATACTTTCACGACATAACACATCAATTAACCAGGTATATTTGAGGCCAATATGGAAGACAATACCATGTGGAGGACAATTACCATGATCATATCATCAATATCACGGCGCCATCCACAGAAAAGTATCTTCTCAGGATATTTTGGAGGATCTTGCATCTTAGGGAAACGACCCCTACGTACCTGCACGAAGGAGACAACATAAATCAGACAGAAGTGACAACTTACAGTTGGTTTATCAAATTAATTGAGAAGGAAAAATGTGATCATTCTTATACTCATAGCCAGGAGGCAGAAAAAGATTTGTAACTTCTAACGCCAATACAGTCTCCAAATCTCCTCCAAAAATTTTGCAGCTATAAAGAGAATAGAAAGACTAACCTCTGGAAGGGGACCCGGAGCATAGGTGTCATCATCTTCAGCAATAACAAGGACTTCATCCCCTTCTTTTAGGACATAGTTATCATCTGGATTCAAGATTATCTTCCCTCCTTCTGCAGCAACCTTGATTCCACATGGAACTGCATCAGGAAATGAAAGGAGAACATCTTTGAAACACAGACCATCCAGTTGAGGCCACCTTTTGATGTAAAATTCATCATTCTCAAACCCTAATATATCTTCCCATATCTGATAAAGAAGAATATGAGCAGAAGAAATTAGTCCAAGGTAGCATTCGAGGGTATAAATGGCCAATACTTGGAAGGTAAGAGCGGAAAAAATTAGTTCAGCCAGTGTGAAAGTCTCATCTAGAATGAGAAGACTAGAATAACTTCCACAGAGGTAGAAAGAGATTTGCAGATAGCTTAGAAAATTTTAAGACTGTAATAGAGGCTACGAATCAGCATGTGAACTTAACAAAAAAAATTGGAAAGTACTATGAAGAATCAACGAATTCGAGCAATTTTTCCAAGAAAAGTATTTCAATTGCTAAGTAACTTGTTTCTGTCACTATATTCAAGAAGGGAATAAAAAAGTTTTGGCAGATGAGTTGCACTTTTATATTATAGCCAATTCGAGGAAGAACAGAATGCTCTAGCGTTCAGAGAGTACTTAAGTCATAAGTATTATATTCATTAACATTCCTCAAACTTAAGTAGGAATTCAAATATGTTCTAACTTCAAATCCCAAGTTTAGTTGAATCAAGTTAACTTCCACATACAAGGGCAAAACTCTATCTGAAAGGTTCAGAGAATTTAGTAAGGCCTACTTTTTTCAGAAAAAAAAAAAAAGAAGTGTCTAAAGAATGATCGTTTATCTCACTGGTTGCCGACTTAAGAGTTCAGGCATTTTGATATGCAGTATCTAAGAGAAATAAGCAGAGATTATCAGAATAACCTGAGCTAATCCAGGCTGCAAAGCACATTGTATCATCAAGCGCCCAATCACATCATGAGCAACAACAGTTTCAATGAGTTCTCCTCCAACAAGCTTCACCAAGGGCTCATTGTCAAGGTCACTCATCTCAACAACAACATGACCTCTCAGACCTTCTTTTACTCCAGTGAGGCTGAGCACAACCCTCAAAGCACGCGCATCACTCTGATGACCAAAATTACACTGATTACTGTCTCACAAGAAACATTATAAGTTGTAGATAATATCAAGGAGAAGCAACTGGAAATACCTGATCTGCATTTTCATCAGATGCTAATACAATGATAGCTCGTGCCTTTGATACTGAAACCTTCAAAAGGAAAAAAAAACAAAAAAGAAAGAAGAACATAATGTAGTGGAAGCAGCACTGGATAAGGAAACAAGATAAAAAGGAAGAGAGGAGGAAATAAAATTTGATATTTAATATGTCTCTCAAAAAGATTCAGGCAGCCAGTGGGTCCACAATTACTTTAAGTCCTTGAATTGTGAATGAAATAAGGAAAAACCAAAATGCCCAGATTTACCTTCTTCAAGTCAGCCAGTATTAGAGGACTGCCACTCCTGCATATAACTGATGTTCCCATGAAATTGAATTCTAGCTTCGCTATATCCATCTCCATTTCCTCCTTGTCTCTTTCAGCAAGGACAACAACAACACCTCCACCAACACTTTTATTTGCTATTGCTAGCTGCTTCAAAAGTGATCCCTACAAGAAAAACTTATTTCTTTAGTTCATTTATTTTCTCCAAGTAGAACAGTCAAATCCTGGAACTCAGCTTGTGCATGTTAGGCTTGTTTTATCAGCACACAATTATTTATCAGGACTGATGAAAAGTAATCAAATCAACATGCAATGAAGATCATCTTATTAAAAGACAGAAGAAAGAAACACATATATCAAGGTTCACCTAAAAGAGTGAGGAACACGTATGTGGACATGGAATTTCCAGCACACCTACAAGTTCCATTACATATGCATGGACCTCTATCAACAAATCACACAGCAGGATTTACTTATCCAAGATAACAGAGCTTCATAATATATTTTAGGCATAGAAATTGCTTTTAAGAAACAACATTAACTACGACAATAACTTGATATTGCAGGTAACCAAATAATATTCTTATTAGTTGAATGCTTTACATTGGCTTTCTACAACCCTTGTTTGTAAGGACCAAGAAGAAAAACTGCAACTCATAATCCTAAAAATATTTGTACCTTACTTGAAATCTCGAACAGAAAACATATCACTTGAAGACTGCATAAACAAGATCTGTAAATCAACATATACATGTAATACAAAGATTACCAATTTGTCACTCCATCCAAGAATTAGTATATGGTTCTTTTCAATGACTTCACTCTTCCCTTTTCGCAATGAATCTACCTTCTCAGAGATTGCATCTGAGACAAGCCCAAGCATCATTGCAAATATCAACATACCACCTGAACTTATAGAAACAGAAACAATCCTTGGCCCGGTACCAACCCTATCAGCATGGTTTCCTGAGTCAGCTACAAAAGTCCATGAAAGCCAAAGTGCTTCGGCAAAGCTACCATCACTAACTGCATATAATGCTAAGCCGCCAAATCCTATGAGAAATATAGTTGCAAAGAGCAGTGCAAGCAATTTTGCATAAGGATATACCGAGAAACATACATCCACCATGTATGCAATTCTCTTCTTCAAGGGAACCTCCTCGTTAGTCTTTCGTCTTTTTGAAAGATTCTTTATTTGGGGAAGATAATCAAGATATTTGTACAACATAAATGGCAGAAAGAGTGTAAAAATCACGGTATACAAAGCAACAGATCTAGTGTCAGCACTCTGAAAATAAGAAAATAAACTAGCATCTTCAAGCTGCAAAACTTCAGTTCTACCATTATGAACAACACCTCTATTGTCACACTGTCTACGAAGGTTAAAAATCTCTCCCTGCAAGCAAAAATGGCCACAAATCATTGAATCAGGGCTACAGAAATAATTTAAGAGAATACTTGGTTGCCCAGCATAAGAAGAAAAGCAAAGGAGAAGAAGATAGAAATTTCCACCTTTGCTGTTCAAGGTTTTTTTTTTTTAACAATTCATAAATTAAAAGCTGAAGTCGTAAAAAATTTTAAAAAGAACGAAAGGACATACCTTCAGTTTTACAACATTATTCCGCAGGTACATTGCATAACATACAGAAAATATACAAGTGAAAATGAGCTGCCAGAAAGTAACAAAAACATCAGAAATAAGCCACGTTAAGAAGGTCTATGTTAGAAAGAGAAAGGTGGAAAAAGGAAAGTTTGATCATCAATGTGAGTGACACTTTGCATTAATCTGCTAGCCCCGACTTTGTTCCACTAATGTTTCCCCTGACCAAATTTTTT